AGAGCGACGGTAGATGAAAGAACGCGTAGAAACGAGATAGAGGAACGGCGTAATTGTTATCGGTTTCACTGCGTATTCCACGGGTGTGTGCAAGCCTGGCAAAACGTGTCAACTAACGTCAGCTGTTGCTTGAGGCCATTCCAGCTAAACGGGTCCGGAACAGTTGCAGACTTTAGTCAATATTTCTGTGCCTTCTTTCCTCTCCGTTCTAGTTTGCTTTTTCTTTTTTAATCTTTACTTTCCTCTTTCTGTTTTCATTTTTATCATTCTTTCTTTCTTTCTTTTTTTTATCTTTTGCCTATTTAAACGACCCCCGCTCTGTTTCCAAGCGTCGATCAGACGAGCGTCTCGATTCGCGGGCGAATACATCGATCGCGCCGCCCCTTTCACGCAAAACAATGAACTTTCCGCTTCGAATGCCTTCGTCGCATTTCCTGAACGACTGTTTCCCTTTTCCGCGATCGTTCCATGGGAAACCGAACTCTACTCTCCATAAAAAGGTTTTCACGGTTTCGCCGAGGATCGGCCCCGAAAAAAGAATTCAATGCTTTCAGGGGAATCGGCTCGCGGCGCCGGTGAATTCTGATTCGATTCGACGGTACGTCGCGTCGGCGGGGACTCGGTGTAATTTTTTACTCGACTTGATTTTGTAACACTGAACGGTGTACGCTCCTCTCGCGGTCGAAGCGGAAAATTCCGGTCGGACACGATTTTTCGAGTCACGGGACAACCGTGCGCCGCGCAATTTTCTTTAACGAGATCAAGGGAAGATCGATGTACGTAGGCGGGAACGATCAAGTGGGGTTCGTTCGCCAATTAATTCCCGATAATCTATCGGGCGCCGTCTGAAAGGTGATCGATTAACCGCGCTGACGTTTCAATCGGGACCCGAGGCGTTGCTCGATTTAATTAAAAACTCATTCGTCGGCGCTCGCCGCCGCCGGAAACAGAGCGCGAGGGACAATTTCCGACGGGAATAATCGGCGGGAACGTTTCTCTCACCTGCAGCCTGTAGTTGGGATCCTGTGTCGCTGCGTGCGCTGCTAGGAATGGGTCGTAATAGACGCTGAAAAAGAAAAATCGACCGGTTAATACGCTGTCGTGAAACTTTGAACGCCTCGCGACCGGCTCCGTTATGCCCGTTGATTCAACTTTACGCGAGCTTTCAAGCGGCCCGTTTCGTTACTCGCGGCGGGCATTTAAGTTCGCGACGCGTTCGATCGTTCCACGAGAAATTGTTGATTCCGAGTGAAACAGTAACAACTGGATGTTCAAAGAAAGGAAAAAGGAGCTCGAGATCAAACGTAACACCGTGAAATGGTTTACTAAATTGTTGATTCTTTTTAAAACCAATAATTAGACTTTAATACGAAGTAGCGTATAATATTTGTAACATCGAGTACTAGGATTGTTTGAACTGTTAATGGAAAAGTACTGCTTACTGTTCCACTGTTTATTTACGATGAAACACGGAAGAAGAACTCTGACAACAGATTATTTTAAGAAGAATCAAAGCGGAGACTTTAATGCCCGTATTACGAACGTCGATCGAGCTTACAACTCCTCCTTCCGCCATCTTTGTTTGTCCAATAACTAGCTTGAAATTGGAAGCTCGACCGACAGAAAGGAGATACGTTTTCTATTTTCCGTGGAATTGGAAGCCGGGCAACGATCGAATCAAGATTTCGCCCATCATAAGAGTCGCGAAACCAGCGGAGCAATGGCCGCCGCTGCCGCCATATTTGCGCTGGGACTCTGTTTTTGCCCTCCGCGTCTTCCGTTTTCCCGACGTTTCGCCGATGATCGAAACCCGATTTGAGTTCCGCGGACAACAATACAGCGGCGAAGGGTTCTCTCGAGTTGTCCCATACACGGGGAGAACATTGTTCACTCGACTCAGCGAATATTCTCCTTCGATTTCGACGAAAATATCGCCGTCGAACCGACCGCGGTGCTGGAAACACGACTTTAAGCCTCGGAGGGTTTCCTCGTCGGCTTGTTTAGTCTCAAACTGTCGAGTTCTAATATTCTTTGAAAGGAATTTCATCATTCCACATAACAACGGAAGATAAATAGCTTGAACCTTACAAATTCTTGTACAATAATGATCCAAAAATAATTTCAAACTTTAAGCTATTCTCGTGACAACGATCCAAAAGTAATTATAGATTGAACAATTTTTCAAGAATCATAATTTCAAGATGACCCGAAACATCAGAATTTAATAACGATTTCTTTTCGATTGAACGTTAACTGCTCTATCGATCAACGAACGCGAGATCGATCTTAGTCACAGGATCAGAATCTCCCGTACGACACACGGCCAGTCGTCGTTAACTCGATTCGTCGTTCGTTATCTGCGCTTTCCAGCAAAGTCAACAAAAAATGCATAAATCACTGCTGGCCCGAGCGCGCGCGGAGTCTGAAAACGCGTCGCGATGACCGGCGAACCACGGATCCGCGCGGATTCTGAATGGAGGAACGAGCTGCGTGCCCCGACGATGTCACGTGTCATCGGCTCGTGAATCAAGCCGGCCGCGATGTTACTGTTCGTCCGCGAGTAATAAAACACCGGGTCACGATGAAACGACAGCCGTGAAACCGATATCGTTTTCCCATGCGTTCGCGCGGCAGCCCTTTTTCATCCCTACCGAAGAATGGTTTAATTAATGACGAGTACTGAAAGAGCGTTTGTAATCCGACGCGTCTATAAATTACTCGAGTCCAACGCGAGAATATCCCAGACACCGATGAAATTTGTGCGTCCTGTCAATCCACCGCGGATTTATCGACCCGCGACGAGTTTGCACTCGAATCTTTTTTCACATTCGCGAAGCCGATGTAAAATACGATTCCCTCGTTTTTTAATCTTCACGTTTCCTTCCGTGAATTCTCAAACGGTCCTAATATTGCGAGGTAAACCGTGAATCGAATCGAAATAAGAATCCAGTCTACATTGCTGTATCAGAACTTTTTACTCATTTTGCGATTCCTATTTTTTAAAGATTTGAAAATTCTCCATCATTCTTTGTTATTAATGCTTCTAGATCTTCTAGATATTACTAGATATTCCGTAGTACGAGGAAATACAATGATAATTAAACAAAAAAAGGAATAGCGGCATTTTATTTCCGTTTCTCGCGCGAAGATGTCTCTAATCACGGAATTGCGTGCCAGAGTCGAAACCGTCGCGATTTTCTGTCATCCTAACCCTCCTCCGAGATCCGTCCTCCCAGAATTCGCGTTTCGAATCGTCCCTCGTGGTTCACCGTTCGTAACACCGCGTTTTCTAGAAGGAAACACACTTCAGTCGCTAGGAAAGGTGCTACGGATTCAAGGTTTGGACTAGCAAATTACATTAGCCTCTCCGGGTGTATAAAAAAAAAAGATAAAGAGTGGTGTCGTGCCCATTCAGATACATCAAAGGTTAGACCGGTGCATGCGGGTGCAGTGATTCGGACAGGCAGCCCCTGACGAGCCGAGGCGCGTGCGTTGCGCGAGTAACTCGACGCGTGCTGGGTTTCGACTGGATTCTCCGATCCTCGACAGATTCGACGAAATCGAATGTTCAATTCGAAGCTCGTTAACGACTGTCATCAAAAGGTACCGTCGCAACATTTGATGTTGTCATCAAACAACCGAGCCCGTAGGATCAGAGAAGGTAAACTGTTATTACATCCACCCCAAACGTTGGATTTCCAGCATTCAATCAAATGAAATGTAATTAAATTCAATTCAATACATACGCCAACGCTTAAAATTTAATGAAATATACTAAATCTTCTCGCATAGAACAAGCGACCAACAATACACCCGAACATTCCCAAACACATCGGACATTTCCAATTCTAACAAATCCATCCACGATCCCCGAAAGGTCCAGCACGTCGTAGAGTCAGCCGCGCGACGGTCGAATCGTTAATTCAAGCTTAAAATCTCGCCACTGAGAGGAAGAGGCGTCCTTTCGTCGGCGTGCCCGATCGGTATCTACTTACGCAGGTGCGAAGGGATGCAGGGCCGTGGCCGCGGCCGCAGCTGCGAGCGGCCCCGGATTCCTGGCGAGGGCGAGCGCGGCTGCGCTCGTCGGGAAGGCCGCCCTCGCGGCGTTCACTCGGCCCCTTTGGATGGCGACTCCTCTCAACGCCGCGGCTGCAACAACACACAGAAACGCACATGCCAATGCGGTCCTACCTTCTCCCGGTAACACGGTGAGTCGTTTCACTCGCGACAACCGAGTCGCGCGTCCCGGGTCCATGGCCGTTTCGCTGGTCTGGCTGGCTGCTGCGGCCCTTTCTCCGCGGCGAGACGAAAGCACAAATTCTCTTACCCTTCTGATCAAGACGCGGGGGATGAAAGTCGTGGAGGTTGTCGACAGAGGAGGCAATGAACTCCGAGCACGATGCACACCCACGTGATTTCGAATTGATTCGGGAACACGATATCTCCTTTGGAATGATCGACGATTGGTAGACTCGCGTGATAGGGGCTGGTTTCGTAGATGACTCAGTGATTATTAGGGAAGGTTTTTAATGGTACGACTGAGCCTGTTTGGAATCTGGTAGTGTACTTTGAATGTGATCCTTCGAGATGTTTTTAGATTTCGAGATTATTGCTTGAAGTTGGGTAATCGTTCACTGTGGAGAACGATTGATTCTTGATCGGTTTCAGGAAGCTGATAGAAACGGAAATCCTGTTGCTAGAGAGGTGTTTTCCGTTGATGCAGGAAGATATCAACGTGCAACTGAAGCGTTTTAGAACGTATCTTCGATTCTGTTCGGTGTCTTCGATGACCGAGCGAGAGGAGGGGAGCAACGAATTTGTAGGATGAGCCGGTTATAGAGGATGGTAACGCATGTCGCGCCAAGATAGAGAAGACAGAGGCTACCGAGAGATAGAGGACACTCAGGCGAGTGTCAAGAAGGATTTCAATGATGGAGAAGTACCCGAAGACACTTCACGAGCCGAGGAATCAAAGACGAGGCCGACCATGTCTATCGACAGATCTGCCGCACCGTTATCAGGAAAATCTGGGTACGCTGTGACAACGGAGAATTCCTTCGCCTCGGCTCAGCAAACCCTGAAATCCATCATGAAGACTTCCGGGGCTCGCGAGAACCCGTCGGAAAGGGTGAAAACGTTCACCGTCAGGTTTTCGATCGAGGAATCGACGAATCGACGTGGAAGATCCACGCAGAGAATCAGATTTCCGGGGGAATGCAAGAAATTCTGGGAGTCTCCTCTGTTCAAGTTGGTTATGTGCATCCTCTTCGGAGTGATGCTCCCCTGCACATTGCTCTACGTGGGAATTTTATTCTGGCACAACAGTCCCGAGAAGAAGGACACCGTGCAAAGGTGAAATTATTCACCGGTTTCCTTAGTGGAGACTTTAATTAAAAGATAAGCCTTTAATGGCTGAAAGTACCTTTCCGAAAAGACGACGCTACTGTTCGCGGAGTCGGGAAAACAAGGGGGAAGATTCCTCTAAGAAAAGGTATCTTTGTAAAAATGTAAATACGTTGTTTGTAGATTCAAAGATCAAACGGGCGTCTATAAGAAGACTCTTTCTGTAAATACATTGCCAGTAGAGTCGAAGGTAGAATATTCATTACAAAGAATAACTTATTTACAACGCGAATCAACTGTCCGTAGATACAGGCGAGACGAAACGGGAAGGTTCGTCGAAGTCAAAGGAGCCATCGAAAATTACAAACAATTATCAGAACTAAAGAGGCTATGACATCAGAAGCATCTTCGAAGACTATTCCCCGGCCCTAAATCCGATCGCCAGACGAAGTTCCATTACCTTCTATCGGCGAGTACTTCAGTAACCCTGAACACAACTTGAAACTACCCGCAGCTTTCGATCCCTGAACCCTTAAACCGTGAACAGAGCGCAAAGTCGATCGGAAGTGATCTTCCGATATGGGGGAAGAATAGAAGAAGTAGAAGTAGAAGCTATCGGATTGAAAGGAAGCCAGCGATCCTGTCGAAGACTGGCGTCCATTGACGACGCTGTCGTAAAGGGAGGAAGCTTTCGGCGCTGAAGAGAGCCTTGACGAGGACCGTATCCTCCGGCAGTCGTTCCGGTGATTGTTCGAGCGACAATTAGGAAGAGAATCAGCCCACGTGGAGGCGGAGTCGTCCCTCCGCTGGAAGCCTCCTCCGGAAACGTGTCCCGATCGAGCGGGATCGTTCGATCCGAGCAAAGGAGCAATAAAAACTGATGGTTTCTGCCTACCTTTTGTCAGCCTCGGCCGGGGATTGATCGAGCGACGATCGCTTTTTTTCTCTCGATTGCCCTCGCGATCCACGCTGAGCGTCTGTCCCGAAGAGATCGAAGGATTCTCGTCATCCCGGTTCTTTCGAGGCGGAACCTCGGAAAGGACGTTTCCCTTTTTTCCAAAATTAAATGTACACTAAGTCTGTCGAAAAGTTCTGTCCGTTTCTGGATTAAAGCAAAAAATAATATTTCCAATAAGTTTGTTAGTATTTACTGGATAATATAATTTCATTGGTATTTCCAGCGTGATGGTAATTTGTGGATTCTATTTCTATAGAATGACTGATCTTTGAAAACTTGAGATTATCGGATAGAACTTTCCGGCAGACCTGATGTATGTATTGTGAACTGTAGAATCGTTCAACGAAGTAGAATCGAGACAACGAATTTTCATGGTGACGCGAATCAGCTTGAATCTCTTCAAGGAACAGACGACCACCGGTTGATTAGTTGCAATTAATCATAGATTAATCGTACGAAGAGAGACATACTTGTGGTTAGGCTAGAGTGAACTTGGGTGGCAACAACGAGCAACAGTAAAACAACAACAATCAGCAACAACAACTGGGAGTGGTTTACAAGTCAACTACCGTGCAAACAGTCGCACGTGGTTAGGTAGGCGGATGTTCCGACGATCGGTCTAGTGGGTGTACTTTTTCCCGTTGTTCGGTTATCGCACGCGCGGAACTCGGGTGCGGATAGAACAAGACTAATAAAGAGCGTGATGCATTGTACAGCAGGCACATTCCAAAACACGTGGGTGGTTCTTACGGGGTTGGTGAGTGTTAGGCAAACGATGTTCTGGGCGCGGTTTGTTCGATCTGTGGTCCAACGACGTCGAAAGTAACTCGATATTTCGATGCTGACGGAAGGATTAATGATCGAAGAGGTAGAATTATTATTAAAAATAAAGTTGAAATAATCGAAAGTGAGAAGAGTACGATCGTTCTTAAAGCTTGACGTTTAGATTGTCGACAGATTCTCAGTCCAAAGGAATTCCGTTTAACAAACATATGTAATCGACAGACGGTGAATCTTAGCGAGTTTGTATTTTATAAAAGAGACTGTACTTCTAATAAAAATCCCGTTCACGTCACTTTCGTGTTGCCAAAGTTATTCACCGAGAGGACGGGACGATTTAATTGAAGTTCCTTCGAACCCGCAGAAATCTGGCCTCGTCCAATCGTTATTATTACTTTCGATCGACTCGGGCCGACGGTCAACGCGAAATCTAATTCAATTACGAGCCCCGGTGTATCCGCGCGACAGCTTATCGAACATTAATCATCGAAATGACAGCGCCAACGCTTCGCGTTTCATAATTCCGCGTTGAGTTTCACGAGCCGGCCCCGAATTAGGAACCCGGGACACGTCCGTTCGCCTTTCATCGGAATTCACGAGCGGCGCACGCCTCCCAATTAACGATAATTAATTGATCGACCCGCCGGAAATTCGAGCTCGCGGAAATGACCGCGGTGATCCGTGCGCCAGTCACTCGACGAACAAGATCAAACGATTTCCTTTTTCCGGCCGTTTTGCAGAAGCTACACCCCGCGCTGCCCGGACAAGCAAATTCTATCGAAAGCATTGAAAATTCCTTTAAACGAAATTATTCAGAGATCCTTTCCTTCTTCATTACCGATTCGTTAATCTGCATTCGACGCGAACGACAAAGCACAAGGAGACCGATTTCCAAGATAGAAGAACGCAGGCCGTCGGCCACAGATCGATAACAGTCGCGCGAACGCCGTCCTAAATGGCGTGTCGGGATCGCTAATTACGTGAAAAAGAAAAGGAACATCGATGATGCGTGCCCCAGAGAGAAGGGTGAGTGCGGTGGGGGTTCTCGGCGAGGGGAGACAGTGTACGGGAGACGGTGGCGAACACACAGACAGACAGAGAGAGGCGGAGAGGCAGAAAGAGAGGGCGGAGAAAAGAAGGAAAAGGGGAGAAGTGGTTGCTCGACGAGCCAGCAACAATGGCGGCGAGCCTGTGTACACGGGCCGCCGTGTTTTTCCGGCGTGTTTCTCTTCCGGTAATCCGTGTTCTGTCTCGTCGTCTCGTTTCGAGAGATCGAGGGGATCCCTTCGGCGCTGCGGCTCGATCGTTCTCGCGGAAACGCAGCCGTTGAACCGTTGCGCCACGGACAGAAACAGGGTCGAAGAAGAAGAAGAGGAGGAAGAAGAAGAAGAAGAAGAAGAAGAAGAAGATTCGGGGTAGAGATTGGAAGATCTAGGGCCAACGATTTTCCCGGCGAGAGATTGCCTCTTTAATTGCGGCCCGTGATCCCGTTGCCAGCGGCGAGTTGGACAGTTCACTGAACCGCGGCCAAATCGTTTCGCGAAAAATACCGGGAAACAGAGGAAGAGGGGGTGGACTCTCCCGTGACGTACCGATACGACCCGGTCAATTTTCGACGAACGATCGCGACGTAATCGAAGGGAGATCCTCTTAATCATTTCGTCCGGATCCCCCGGGGTGTGACCCCATCACGCCAACGGACCATTAGACGATTATCGCTAATTAAGTCGACCGCTGGAAACGCTGACTAATCCCGGGATACTCCTGCCGAGGGGGCGAGGTTCCGTCGCGAGGCAGAGGGAAGAAACGTTTCCGTGTTAGGGGCTCCGTTTCAGTCCTCGAGGCAATCTCTTAATTTCGCCCGGTGGCTTCGGCGGCCGCGAGAGAAGAAGTGTCTCTTCCGCGGTGGAATTCGGGGCTCCTTGTTTGAACAATTATCTCGCTCTTAATATTCTTTCCATCGACGCGACTGTTCGGCGCGTCGATGAAACGGAATCGAAGAATCATTCGCGAACGTATTAACAAACGAGACTGATGGGAAAATACTTTATCTGGAAAGTTATGTATC